ATGCAGACCAAAAAAAAACCAAACCGAAGCCCAAAAGCATATAATACCCGCCCAAATATCCAAAAGCCCATAAACCAAATTATGAAAATTTCGACCAACACTTGATCCTAGCTAGACTCGCATCTCGTCTTACCCTCTGACCGCCAAGGGCTATTTGCCGTTAACCTCACACCCCTTATCCTCATCAATCGTCTCTAAGGAAGACAACCTCACCCCAGATAGGCGAGCCGCGAGCAGCTTCTCCCTCATCGATTGTCTCTCAGCCCCGTCGCCCTCGATCATCTGTCACCATCGTCACACGAATCGAAAATGATCACAGATCTCACCCAAACGGTAATTTCCATCAATGTTGTGTTTTTATTTAAATTCTCAGTATGAATCATTCATTAAATCAATCCAAAATACCATGTGTCGTTAATTCAAAATTGAAAAACAAATCAATGAAGTGGTTTTTCACCATTTGAGGTCAATGTATTGGTCGCACCAGATCTGAAATCTCCTGCGTGCGCTAAATTGCTTGGTCATGCTTAGTGTTAATTTTTTTTTATCTCGGTAATCATGTGTTCGATTAACCTCTGTATGCATTTAGATTTACAGTATTTTACATTCTTATCTAATTGTAATTGTATTTGCCTTATTTCAGATGTATTTTTTAGGTTCATCCAAAAAAATTAGGTAATCTGTTTAGAGTTTGTACGATGCCAGGCCGTTGCTTGGTTTTCCATTTAGCTTTACATGTATAATTTGTTTTTTTAGACTGCTGATTTTTTCAGGTTGGTTTTTGTATAAGAAAACTATTTTTTTCTATTCAATATTATAGTTTTTACTATTCTGTATTTTTTTCTTTTCAAAACTCCAACTGATATATGTATTTATCATTCCAAAATATAATTTCATTTGGAAGTTTTTTCAATGAATGTCTATTTAATCATAAGTAAAAAAATCGTGATTAATTTAAGACTACTACAATTACATACTCTTTCAAAATGGGTCAATAATGTGTTTTTAACAATCTAAAGGACATTACATTTATACATTTGCAATAGATTGAAATGAGAGAATCTACAATGTCATCAAATACACTCGCTTCTACCTACATTTGCAACTTGTGTTACTTAACTTGTTAAATTTTCAGATCATGTCTATGTTGAAAGAGCATTTGGAAACTATACAGGAGAGTGCATAATAGGTTATGATTTCTCTTCATATACCTTTTAAAGGTGTTATCAACCTTTAAATATTTCAGAATGCTAAGATTTCAAATTTACATATATACTTCTAAATATTTTGATGAATACTACAATACTTAAACTTCAAAAAACTAATATTTATGAGACTTATGGAAACTGGATTTTCTTACGTTCATTGAAAAAATTAAAAAGAAAAGTATAGGAGACAATTACCTCTTTGAAGGAATAAAGTAAGTCAAATACAAAAAAAATACACCCTTTGCACAAGTGTCTTGACTTGAGGTTATGTTTGGCTTTAAAAGTGATATGTCAATTGCACTTTCAATGTAATGGACAAAAGTAGTAGTGTCCTTAAACAACCCCAAAATTAGGTGATATCCCTCACAAACATTTTAGGTGAAAAAATTAGGTGACATCTCTCACAAACATTCTTTGTAGGTGTCCTAACCAAGTCCTGGCCCACCTCTAGTGAAAAATACAATTTTGTGGAATGGTATTTGCAGTACAATCAATAAAATATGTTGTCAATGAATTTGATGCAAATGCACGGGTAGAGTTTAATGACACTAAAAATTAAAGATAAGCTTTTTCCAAACCTAGAAGATCTAGTAAACATTTTGTAAGCGGATCATACACAAAGTTTGACACTAACCCTTAATGTCACCTACATCACTAATTACTGAAGTGAATTTTCTACAATGTATCTCTTGTGGTATTTTTTACGAATTAAATAAAGGATATGTTCATTACAGAGTGAGAAGTAGTAAAGAAACATGCTTTTGGTCCAATATAAAGCTACACTAAGCATTTAACAGGTTTCATGTGTGTTATATATAAACACACATATGTACATATGTTATACTCATACTGCACGTAAACCGTGAAACACATTAAGGAGTGTGGGTCTGTGATGAATTTGCTTTGTAATGGACCCCTTTATATACAAACAACAAAGAGTGTTCCCAGTAGAATAAAACAGTCCTTAGTATTGATAATCTTAACTTTTGATGTTGTTTATCACATTACATCCAGCATTCCGGCGTACAACTGGCCCATCTGGAAAGGCTCTCAAGATATGGCTGACCAAAGAAAAAGATAAAATGGTGAATTGTGATTTTCAAATGTTCCAGAAAAAATTAAACGATACACTACTTGCTAGAATTCACACTATAAAGAAAATAACATTAAAATCTTGCCATGTTTGTATGGAGTATTACATACTATGATTTACATATGTAGTATTTGTAAACTGGGTTATTACCTCTTCTGTTGTTCCCTATTTTATGAATGAGTATTCATTCTGCAGGGGGTCTACGTTAGTGTACTCTGATCTCTAGTCTCTAGTGAACGTAGATACACTTGTTGGAGAGATTCTTGCGCAAGAGGGCGCTCATCTCAATTGGTTCTGTAAAAGTCTCATATTTATAGGAGCAACAACAGAGGTGTTTCCATCAGAATCAGAATAATAAACAACACTTAGTAGAGCGTGAAAGCCTTAATTAATTTGCCGCCCAGTTATTTATTCATTGTTTATTGAACTGAATTATTTAAAGTGGTATTAGGAGTCTTTCGGTCTTTCCATAAAAGACTCCTCATTTCTTGGCAGTAATACTTTTCTATACATTTAATGCAACTCATGCAAAGTACCTATTATTAAACATTTAATGCTACTCGTGAAAAGCACCTGTTATAATTGCACCGGTTTTGAATTTTGAAATCACAATACCGCCCATTTTCCCTCCCAAATTTCCCCCACACTCCCTCTCACACTTTTCTGTTTTAATATATATATATATATATATATATATATATATATATATAGATATTTCTTCAATTCTGCGACTTATGTGTTTTCTAACATCATTAGGGGTGGGAAAATATACCGTAATTTCGGTATACCGGCCATAACATACCGAAAAATACTGATTTTACCGAAAATTTCGGGATACCGAATTTTTCGGTACGATATGATACCATACCGGATCACTTCGGTACGGTAAAGGTATGCACTTTTAAAATTTTCGGTATTTCGGTATATACCGAAATACCAAAATAAAACTTGTAAATTACTAAGGCCCAAACTCAACCCAAAGACATTATATGAAATAACTAAAACACTAAGGCCCAAACACAACCCAAAGACATTAAAAGAAATAACTAAAACCTTAAGGCCCAAACTAAAAAAACCCATCTTTAACTTACTGCCAGTGGATCTCTAAACCTAGGGGTGAGCAAATAACCGAAAAAACCGACGTAACCGATAACCGGCGACCGAACCGAACCGAAAAATCGGTTATCGGTCGGTTTTCAGTTATCAAGTGTAAAGAATTATCGGTTATTCGGTTAATCGGTTATTTAGAAGTTGTTCTCTTCACCTGATCTGAATGTTTCTGATATGAATTTTTTAAGTTCTGATCTGATCTGATCTGAATTTTTCTGATTTGATCTGATCTGATCTGATCTGAATCTTTCTGATCTGATCTGAATCTTTCTGATCTGATCTGAATGTTCCTGATCTGATCTGAATGTTCATGATCTGATCTGAATGTTCCTGATCTGATCTGAATGTTCCTGATCTGATCTGAATCCTTCTGATCTGATCTGAATTTTTCTGATCTGATCTGATTTAAACATTTCTAAAATTATAATTACAATTATAATTACTATAATTATAAATGTAATTACACATATATAATTTAAATATAATTATAATTATAATTATAATCATTATTATAAATATTATAATTATAATTACAAACATAATTATAATAGGTATAATTATTATTATACGTATTACACTAGTTATAAATAAAGCTATAATTATAATTGTAATTATATTTATAGTTATACTTAATAATTATAATTTTAATTATAATTATAATATTTATTTCTATAATTTTAATTGTAATTACTCCGTATAATATGATAATAACAAAAACAAAACTAATAACAACAACAACAACAACCATATTAGTAGTAAGAATAATAATAATCATGACAATAATAAATATCATAATAATAATAATCATAGTAATCATAGTAATGATGATGATGATGATGATGATGATGATAATAATAATAATAACAATAATAACAATAACAATAACAATAATAACAATAATAACAATAACAACAACAACAATAATAATAATAATAATAATAATAATAATAATAACAATAATAATAACAATAATAACAATAATAACAATAATAACAAGAACAAGAATAACAATAATAACAATAATAACAATAACAACAACAATAATAATAACAACAATAATAGCAATAATAATAATAAGAATAATAATAATACTAATAATAATAATATCAATTATAATATTAATTATACTAATTACAATAACAACAACAAGAATAATAATAATAATTATAATAATTATAATTATTATAATTATTATAATAATTATTATTATTATAATAAAAAGGATAAATCATGTCTGAACTTTTCTGATCTGATCTGAATCTTCCTGATCTGATCTGAATCTTCCTGATCTGATCTGAATGTTCCTGATCTGATCTGAATGTTCCTGATCTGATCTGAATGTTTCTGATCTGATCTGAATCTTTCTGATCTGATCTGATCTGATCTGAATTTTTCTGATCTGATCTGATCTGAATAAAATAAGAATAAGCAATAAGTAATAAGATTAAAGACCCGTTTAGATAATAGCGGATGGATCAAACCGCTGAAAATTTTTAACAGCAAAACGCTGCAAAATGCAACGGATTGCTAAGGATCCGCTGAAAAACAAACGAAGGCTAAGACGAACAGAACATCACCTTAGCTGTTTTAAATTTTAGGTTTCGGTCTGTGACCGATAACCGAATGAATAGGTGATAAGTATAATTATAGCCCAGCGGCCTCCTACCCAAATCAATGCAACGGCCAAAGCAAAATAGAACCCTAAATCGCCGAACCTCTGTTCCGAAAACATGAGCGAATGAACCTGACCTATCCGGATTCCAGACTCTAGCAAAGCGAAGAAGCCAAGCGATTAATTTTAGCCTTGTACGAAGACCCAAGGTAATCTGAGTTCTCTTCTTCAATCCCTAACTTGAGGTTTCCTCTGTGCTCACTAATTTGTGATCGTTTCTTCAATTCACCCAATCGCACACTTTCCCGATCTAATTATCTAACGGTGGTAAATCTCTAACTTATCTCAATTAAACCCCTCTTTCTTCAACAAATGCTTCATATTTTTCCCCGAGTTCAGCGATCTCTCTGAAATCCACTGTTTTAATATTTATACTCCGTATTTGATATGTAGAGATGTTTGGGTTGGCCGTTGGGGACCTAATGACCTATGAGTTAGTTTTCTAATTAGTTATTTAATGGATTATTAATTTGGTGAAAATAATATGTAAGGGCTTTGTTGAAGACTTGGAGTTAACTTCTTATACGAAAATACGTATAATGGGAAGGAGTTAATGGTTATAACTAGCTAGAAGATCTAACATTCTACGGGCATTGTTTTTCTTCTTCTCAAGAAGAAATGAATGATATTAGACTTCTTTTAAGCTGCTCCACTAAGAAATCTTTGCCGGAATCAACAGCTGCTTAATTTACTTTGCATGATGTAGATTTATTAGTTTAGTGATGACTTTTTACAAATTCATATAAACAACCAATTTTATATGTTTGTGAGCTTGTGTCATTTAGAAGTGAAATATACTGTTATATTTGAAGTGATGAATGCTGAGTATTTTATTAGCTTTCCATCGTTTCTTATTGCAGGAATTTTGTTATATAAAAGTATTGCAGAAACTATTTAATGATAGCAAGTATTTGCATTTACTTTTGATCTCACTTAGTCACTTATAATATTGACAAGGGACGTATGCTTTGATGCGATGGAGAATGGTAGAATGGTGTAGATTTACCACTTTGGATTTTGTAATTTTGTGACATATTGTGTCTTTTTGCCAAATTATTAGTAAAAGTTTTTCACTTAGGACATTTCTTTTATAATATTTCCAATATATACTTCAATAAAGCGTTTGTCGGTTACGAATAAAGCATCCAGCCTGGAATCCTTCGTTTTTTACTATTGTTTATAAAAAACTTTCAGATTTTAGAAAAAAATAACCTTAAAAAATCTATATGTTCGGTTATGAGATCTGTCTGTGTGTTCGCACTCTAAGGTGGAAGGTGATTTTCTCCTGGGTCACCGTCCGCCGATGGATACTGCATGTCTGGTGGCCGGCTTATGTTCTCACGTTGGTAGAAGCCAGGAGATGAGACAGACAATGCTAATTTACTCCATAAAGGACATAATTGGAATGAAATAATAAGTGTGGCTGTATTTAGTAAATAGATGGCTGTGGTTAGAATTACCCAATAACTAAAACACTAAGGCCCAAACACAACCCAAAGACATTAAAAGAAATAACTTAAACCTTAAGACCATTTGTAGTGGAAGGTTTTAGGAGTCCAAAAGGTTAAATGTGGAGCTTTTAGACTCCTATTTGCTTACATTGGAGTAGTAAAATGGGTTTTAAAAATGGAAAGGGGAGTGGAAGAGTTCAAATATAGAGGAGTTTTAGACTCTCCAAAAGCAAAAGAAAAAAGAGAATAAAACGTCGGCATGTTGCTGTTGTTAAGCGGGTGATGTCATGCTGACATCATCCCTGCATAATAAAATCACTCTTTTTATAAAAAAGACTATAACTTTTTTATATGTTGTCCAATTTTTTTGAAAAATATATCGAAATTCATAATTTTTTATGATCTTTCATATGACATCAATATTATACATATATGATTCATTTTAAAAAATGAAGTTTCAATAACCAGAGAGTTGAGTAGGCTTAAAAAAACGAAACACAAATTTTTAATTCACAGTGTCTCCACAAATAACTGAATATTACATAAACTCATTTTACTATTTTATAAAAGTGAAAATAGTAATAAAAAAAATTAATGATTTTTTTTAAATTTCTAACATCAAAATGTGTATTTTTTTAATTTCATTACTCTTCACAAATAAAAATAAAGAAAAATATTGCTTATAATAATTTAATTAATGTTTTACTAAATTGATATGTAAAAAATATGTAGAGTGTATTTTATCGACGGTGCACGGATGTAGGGAAAAACAGTTTTGACGGAGTCTAAACACAATTTTCAAATGAACGGAGTCCAAATTTAACAATTTGAACTCTTGACCACTACAAATGGTCTAAGGCCCAAACTAAAAAAACCCATCTTTAACTTACTACCAGTGGATCTCTAAACCTAATCGCATATTGGAGCAATGACGATGGATTTCTAAGCCATGCCTCCGTCTCATCTCTGTTCTAGGCTTCTAGCCCGAGTTTGAGTCATGAAGTCAAGATTCGTGCGCTCATGCCAACTTCTCTTCTCCCAAGTCTGTGCATAACGACGGAAGACTTGGAGCTGTAGCTGCGGACGGCGACGCCATTGACGAAGCACGGAGCTGCGGACGACCATCAATCATTTCACTGCTGAAGCTTCTCAATCTGGTCTGTGATCAAGCATGCTACAACCGGAACTTTAAATTATTCTGTTTTTGTTTAAATTTATTTTTAATAAGAATTAGAAAAAAGTTCTAAGAATTACTTTCTCCTAGGAATTAGTTACCTCAGTTTTGTGTGTTCATATTTTCTCTTTGGCAGAGCTTTAAACCTTTAATTACCGACCAAGGTTTTGTAGAATGATTTAATACCGGCATACTGGCACATGTTTCAATCTGCATGAGCTTCTTAAGCATATATGCCGATGCTTTATACAGCTCCAAGAAGATCAGTATTGTGAATTTTCGGTATAAAACGGTATGGGTTACATACCGTACCGAATTTTCGGTATACCGAAAGTTTCGGTATGGTAACGGTATGACTTTTATTAATACCGGATTTTCGGTATGGTATGCGGTATGGTGTTGAAATTTCGGTATACCATACCGAACCAGCCCTAATTGGTACAACCAGAGCTTGTGTTTTGAGTTGGTATTTCGTTACCGGAGAATCTACTCTCAGACTGTTTCTCCTGTCCTTTTTAGGACAGATTTGACCAAGTAAAGTGCATCATTATACAGAAGATCTGACCATTTTGTTACTGATACTCTAAATGATTGCATGCACAGATTTGTGAAAATGGGTGGAGGTTTCAGAGTGCTGCATCTTGTCAAACCGTTTCTCTCGTTTCTGCCCGAAGTTCAGAGTGCTGACAGAAAGATCCCCTTTAGAGAGAAGGTCATATACACTGTGATCTCTCTTTTCATCTTCCTGGTCTGCAGCCAGCTTCCTCTTTATGGCATACATTCCACAACGGGTGCTGATCCCTTTTATTGGATGCGTGTTATTCTTGCCTCAAACCGTGGTACTGTCATGGAGCTTGGAATCACACCAATTGTGACTGCTGGGATGGTAATGCAACTGTTGGCTGGTTCAAAAATTATTGAAGTGGACAACAATGTCAGAGAGGACCGAGAACTTCTGTGAGTTTGACTCTTATACATCATTACTGCTTAATCTTAAATGCATCTCTCCATCCCAAAACAAGAGAGTGATGGTGGAAATTTATACATCCCAGCAAAATTTCTAGTTAGAATAAAAGAAACCAAATTTTTGTTGTATCTGATGTATTTTTTCAAACAGAAGTGCTTTAATCAAATTAACTATTTTAGATTTAGTTTAAGCAATTAAATAAATTCTAAAATATACATAGTAGCTAGAACTGCTGTGTGAAATAGCCTTACCTTCGTGAAACCAGACTTTTTTTTTTCATAAAGGTATTATTAGCCCTACATTTTTAATGTCCAGACTTATATCATGATAATCCTCTAGGAAGTAGGATCCTTCTAAGTTCTAATGATAATTTAATCTGCAGAAATGGGGCTCAAAAGCTGTTAGGCATCCTGATTGCTATTGGAGAGGCAATTGCTTATGTCCTATCAGGGATGTATGGAAGTGTGAACCAATTGGGCGTTGGAAATGCCATTCTAATTATCATCCAGCTCTGCTTTGCTGGCATTATAGTCATGTGTTTAGATGAGCTCCTTCAGAAGGGATATGGTCTTGGTTCTGGGATTTCCCTATTTATAGCTACCAATATCTGGTAACACTGCAAATTTTTGTATTCGCCCCAAAAGTTTTTAATTCAATGGTTGTGGCTTTGTATATTAATGATTGCTTAATCTAATAAAAATGTCTCAGTGAAAGTATTATCTGGAAAGCATTCAGCCCTACAACCATTAATACGGGTCGTGGAACTGAATTTGAAGGTGCTATTATTGCTTTGTTCCATCTACTAATAGGTCGAACAGATAAAGTAAGGGCCCTCAGAGAGGCTTTCTACCGGCAAAATCTTCCCAATGTTACCAATCTACTTGCCACAGTTTTAATCTTCTGCGTTGTCAACTATTTCCAAGGTTTTCGAGTGGTTCTTCCTGTCAGATCAAAGAATGCCCGTGGACAACAAGGATCTTATCCAATTAAATTATTCTATACCTCCAACATGCCTATCATTCTTCAATCTGCACTGGTATCCAACCTCTATTTCATATCTCAGGTACCTAAGACTTCTTTTTGGTGAAACATTTAATCCCTGATTCAATTCCCCAGTTATATGCTATTGCTCATTTTGGTCCTTAACCATCTTATAGAGCCAATTTCATCCTTGCAATACATTTTAGACTCAATTAAATATTTATGCATGTTATACTATAACTACAAGGGTTACTTTCATCTGCTCAGGATTAAATTGGATGACCATATTAATTAAGTCCTAAATTCAATCTAAATCTATTTGTTTGATGAATATACCAGTGCTATTTAGAACCAAATTTGTGTTAGAACTAAATCAGGTTCAAGATGCATTTTCAGGATCAAGTAGCCCTTAAAATCTGATCGAATTGAGTAATAATGTATAGCTGAGTGACTATATTTTCGGTTTTAATTCGAGTATAAACATTTAAGGTGTTCTGAAGAATTTAATAACTCTGCATGTACAGTTGTTATACCGGAAGTACGGTGGAAACTTCCTTGTCAATCTTTTGGGTATATGGAAGCAATCTGAATACTCTGGCCAGTCTATTCCTGTTGGTGGACTTGCTTACTATGTAACTGCACCATCAAGGTGATAGTTTGAATATATTGCCCAATTATCTTTTTTTTTGTTTTGGTTTTGTGATTGTAATCTCACAAATGAGTATTTGCATATTATGGCAGCCTTGCGGACATGTTGGCAAACCCATTCCATGCTCTTTTCTACATAGTGTTCATGCTTTCTGCTTGTGCGTTGTTCTCAAAGACATGGATTGAAGTTTCTGGGTCTTCAGCAAGAGATGTTGCCAAGCAACTTAAGGTAAGATGGTTCTTAGGATTCTTGTGTTATTAAACTCAAGTTCAAAAATAAAAAACGCTACGTTGAGCTGCTATGGAAACAAGCTTATAACCCTGTTATAGTGGTATGTGCCATCTGTTTCAACCGCTAAAAGTGGTGTAAACTTAACTCATTCATCCCAAGTTTGAATAAGCTTAATTTGAAAATATCTGACTGCAATTAACTTTTTTATTTTTGTGGATAGTCTTGTGATTTGTGAATCCAACTTTTAGTTTCTTAAATTCCTTAAGAGCATATTTCTGTAAGCTATTTTAAGTATCTGAACAGTAACGAACCTTCTAATTCAAAGGTCATTGAAAAGTACAACCCTGTCAAAAACAACTTTAAACTTACAAATAAGTGTTGTAAAACATTGAGCATTTGCCACACGCTTATATAAATGTATAGAATAAATTACTACTTCCATCCTTTTTAAGTTACCATCTTTCCTATTGGGTTGTTTTTAAATAATCTTCTCATTGGACAGTTGCAAAGTAGTTTCTATTGATTCTATTCTTTCTAAACAAATATTAACCAAACAATCCATTCCCTTGGACAGTTGTGAAGTGAAATGAGTTTTCTTATGTCTACTGTTTTTTATTTAAGAAGAAAAGAAGTTGGAAAATCATTCATCTTTTTTTTTATTTTCCTGAACACCAATGAGCTTTACTTGTACCCATAAACAGCTCAAAATTTGAGCTTCTTGGAGTAGAGGTACAATGTTTTCCATCTGCCATAAGTTACTTCAAAGAATAGGCAAGACAAATATTCATTTTGTTAATGACGGGTTTTCTTTTGTGTAAAAATGAGTGATTTCCCTTTATTTAACATTGTTCTAATCACATCTTCACTTACATTATATCTTAAATTGTTTGTTCAAATTGGGGTTTGTTGCATTAGGCTAATAAATCTTCTTCATCAATTCTTACACCATTTTTTTTCCCAAATAATTACACCCCCACACTTTAAAACCACTGATTAAAATTCTTCAATCAAATCTTGGTTTAGGCTAAATACCATTCTTATAATTGCAGGAGCAACAAATGGTGATGCCTGGACACCGGGATTCAAATCTGCAAAAGGAACTGAACCGCTACATTCCCACTGCTGCCGCGTTTGGCGGAATGTGCATCGGTGCATTGACAGTGTTGGCAGACATGATGGGTGCCATCGGTTCGGGAACGGGCATTCTACTAGCCGTCACTATCATTTATCAGTATTTTGAGACATTTGAGAAGGAGAAAGCCACTGAACTTGGCTTCTTGGGATTGTGAGCCCCTTTTAGTTACTTGCTGTTGAGAAACCAAAAGTACCTCTACAAAAAGAGTCCTACTGAGTACTGACACAAAGTTTTCGAACTACCTAAAAGGATAACTCGTTTTCATTTGGATATCTAATTGAATTTTATGCACACAATGCAATAGCACTCCGGTGAAGTGCTATTTCATGCCTTTGAAGTTTGAATCATGGTTTAAGACTTTAAGTGCCAACTGAAGTTCAATCGTCCTTGAAAATGTATTCTCGAATGTTGCATACAATGATCAAAATGCAATATATAAACCATTCTTCACTAGAATCTCAAAGAAACATAAAAAAACAAAAACATTCGTCGAATATCATAAAGTTTCCTGTTCAAAATATAAATTGCTCATCAGAACAAATCATTCTCCATTTTGCAAAAACCTTAAAACCCTATGGACAACTCACTCTACTAGTACCCAATATTTTCTTTTTATTATTCTTTTTTAAGTAAATTTGTGCACCTTTTATTCAAAAAAGATGCGCAAAAAATTATTTAATTGGGACAAGTGAATATAAATTAATTCTTTTTTGATAATATTTGAACTAGTGTTTTTATGCAATTTCTTTATTATAGCACGGAGTATATGGTTTACACTTAAATTAGTGTTAATAATTAAATTTATACTTCTTTCGTTCTTAAATAAATGCAATAGTCAACATTTCACATTTGCCGAGGCACAACTTTGACCATTAATATCTATAATTCCCGATTAGTAAAAAAAGTTTAAAAAATAGATTTTGAAAATTTATAATGAGAAAAATTTAACAATATTTTTTTCAAAAATATATATTATTACATTAATAAATAAAATGTAGTCAAAGTAGAACATGTGAATAGAGCAAAAAGTCCAACGTTGCATTTAAAAGAGAACGGAGGTAGTATATATTTGCAAAAAATTATATATATAGAATTTAGTTTATTAGTTTGACTAATCTTTAAAATTAAATTCAAAGAAGGAGATTTATATTAAAAGCACACTGCGAAACAATAAAAATATTGTGATCGGAAAATTGTGCAAAAAATATAAATTTAAAAGTTAAAAGTACTAAATAGAATTGGGATGGGCAGTCCCAATTCTGAATGGCACCTGTCCAAAACTACTTATTTAAAATCCCAAATTGCTGTCTCGAATCAAAATCAGATCAGATAATTAACCTATTTCTGGTCCCATTGTTTCTCAAAACTAGGCTCGAAGAACAAGCCACAACAAGGTTGGTCCTGGTTTTTTTTTTCTGTGTAAGAGAACATGAAAGCCAAATTGGTTGACCAAACGAAACCAAAACCAGACTTTGTGCACCTCACTTGGTACTTTTGTAAGTTTAAAAGGTGTAATAATGGTTCCCAAAACCCATATGAAATGTTACTCCGTATTTCTGCAATTCTGCTTAATGTTTAGTGTGAAGGGTCTCAAGAACCTTCACATATTTCATACGTATAGCGATTCAACTTTTTAGACAACATTTCAAGAGCAGAATAACAATTAAGTCAAATAATAATTTTGATCAAAACAATTCGGCAAAAATCACTTGCATGTGAAATTGTTATTAATGAAATGTTCACCATCTAGTCACCTCACCATTTAAAAATGAAAAAATTATAGTCATAATGTATCGCTTGACTTTATGCTCTGACACAATCGCTAAACTACTCCTTAACTTAAGCAGTAGGAAGGCTGGCCGCCATCAGCTGCCAGTTGCATACGCTGCTTATGCTCTGCAACTTTGAAGTCAATAATCTCCTTGAACAGCTGGCAATCGAGGACGCAATCAGGGCTACCGTAAACAGCAGCCTGCACACTACACACTACCGTAAAAAAATATCAATTTCTTTGTGTCTAAAAAACAATCAATATTTTAAAGACGTACATTTTAACACACTAATTTGAAAGACGATATGTGCTTTAGTATAGGGGTAAGACTGTGTACATTCAATCCCTCTTACCCCAGTGTAGGTGGGAGCCTTTGTGGCACTGGGGTAATGATGATGATGACTTTGAAAGACCAATCAATAAATAATTTTTTCTCTAATTTTTTGTACTATTAATATTTACACATTACTGGAATATAGTAACACGAATATCAAATTTAAAAAAAAAACTGTAATTCATACTCTGTATATATTGGGAAAAATAATTTAAACATCCAAAACATTGAATGAGTGTGAGATAAGTGTTCCAAACTTACACATGAGTGTGGGATAAGTAATCCAAACTTTCACATGTAATATAAATGTCTCAAACTTCATATAAAAATTATGTTAGCATTATCATCACAAATGTAATTTGCTACATTTGTGATGATGATGATTACATAATTTAAAATAAACAAAACATTTATGAGGATGATGTAATTAAAATTAAATTGTAAGAGATGTAATATTATTTATTACACAAATGGAATTTTAGAATGTTAACTTCCCACATTCTAACAATGTTTAGAGTATTTTAAATTATGCAATTATTCCAATAAATTTGTATTTGTAAAAAATATGCATCATAGTGCAAGAATAAATGTTTATATAAAGTTCAAGATATATATATATTAAGAAATTGTACAATATAGGAGTAAACATAAACATAATTGCACAAATAGAAGTAAAACTTAAAACTTCCTTCAATAGGAGTAAACATTAATTTTCTACCCTTAATACCACTATCCTAATTAATTCTAAAATAGGACTTACTTGATCCTATTAAAATAAAAATATAAAAATTCTAAACTTTTTTTAAAAAAATATCAAAATTATAAATATAAAATAAAATAAATATTTTTTAAAAATAAAAAACTTTAAAAATAAATGAAAAATGGATAAAAATACATTAAGAAATATAAAAAAATTATGGATTCCTTTCCCGCAGCTTCGGCCACCACCCATCAACGGCACCTCCGATCGGAGAAAAAAATGTCATTTTATGTAAAAGTTGTCATTTTTCTTGGGAAATGCCATAAAGATGACATTTTACTCTTTGGATGAAAATGCCAAATTTTCTCAAAAACTGCCATGAAGATGGCATTTTTGACAAATGTTGGTATTTTTTCCAGTGGAGTGGTTGGAGTTGGTGGTGCTGGGAGGTTATTGAGGCAGCGACAAAGGCCTGAATATTTTTTTTATATTTTTTTCATTTAAATTTTTTTCGTTTTCTATATTGTACTTTTTTATTTTAATTTATTATTAATTTTATTTAATACGCAGTATATTATATTTAATACTCGTATATATTTTCATCCTTTTTTTTTTTACAATTTTGTTAAAACTAAATAATGTTAGTTGTTTTATATTTTAATCTGAAAGTGGTTGGTGCTCGGGTAGGGGTATATTTTCCAAAGATTATAGTTACTTCTATTCAAAATATGGTACTCTTATTATCGCATTTTGTCTATGCTTTACTCCTATTTGGGAAATTCTTTCTATATATATTACATATGCAAATTCAGGGTGTTTATCTCACACTCTATTAAGGTTTAAGGTATTTAAATTATTTTTTTATCAATATTAGCCATTTTTTAAAAATATTTTTTTTTAAAACTATTTTTAAATTATCTTTTATTAATATTAGCCTTTTTTTGTTTTCAAAAAAAAAAATTTAAAAACCCAATGCAGACCAAAAAAAACCAAACCGAAGCCCAAAAGCATATAATACCCGCCAAAATATCCAAAAGCCCATAACCCAAATTATGAAAATTTCGACCAACACTTGATCCTAGCTAGACTCGCATCTCGTCTTAGCCTCTGACTGCCAAGGGCTATTCGCCGTTAACCTCGCACCCCTTATCCTCATCAATCGTCTCTAAGGAAGATAACCTCACCCCAGATAGGCGAGCCGCGAGCAGCTTCTCCCTCATCGATTGTCTCTCAGCCCCGTCGCCCTCGATCATCTGTCACCATCGTCACACGAATCGAAAATGATCACAGGTCTCACCCAAACGGTAATTTCCGTCAATGTTGTGTTTTTATTTAAATACTCAGTATGAATCATTCATTAAATCAATCCAAAATACCATGTGTCGTTAATTCAAAATTGAAAAAACAAATCAATGAAGTGATTTTTCACCATTTGAGATCAATGTATTAGTCGCACCAGATCTGAAATCTCCTGCGCGCGCTAAATTGCTTGGTCATGCTTTGTGTTAATTTTTCTTTTATCTCGGTAATCAAGTGTTCGATTAACCTCTGTATGCATTTAGATTTACTGTATTTTACATTCTTATCTAATTGTAATTGTATTTGCCTTATTCAGATGTATTTTTTAGGTTCATCCAAAAAAAACTAGGTAATCTGTTTAGAGTTTGTACGATGCCAGGCCGTTGTTTGGTTTTCCATTTAGCTTTACGTGTATAATTTGTTTTTTTAGACTGCTGATTTTTTCAGGTTGGTTTTTGTATAAGAAAACTATTTTTTTCTATTCAATATTATAGTTTTTACTATTCTGTATTTTTTTCTTTTCAAAACTCCAACTGATATATGTATTTATCATTCCAAAATATAATTTCATTTGGAAGTTTTTTCAATGAATGTCTATTTAATCATAAGTAAAAAAATCGTGATTAATTTAAAGGTGTTATCAACCTTTAAATATTTCAGAATGCTAAGATTTCAAATTTACATATATACTTCTAAATATTTTGATGAATACTACAATACTTAAACTTCAAAAAACTAATATTTATGAGACTTATGGAAACTGGATTTTCTTACGTTCATTGAAAAAATTAAAAAGAAAAGTATAGGAGACAATTACCTCTTTGAAGGAATAAAGTAAGTCAAATACAAAAAAAATACACCCTTTGCACCAGTTTCTTGACCTGAGGTTATGTTTGGCTTTAAAAGTGATATGTTAATTGCACTTTCAATGTAATGGACAAAAGTAGTAGTGTCCTTAAACAACCCCGAAATTAGGTTATATCCCTCACAAACATTTTAGGTGACAAAATTAGGTGACATCTCTCACAAACATTCTTTGTAGGTGTCCTAACCAAGTCCTGGCCCACCTCTAGTGACAAATACAATTTTGTGGAATGGTATTTGCAGTACAATCAATAAAATATGTTGTCAATGAATTTGATGCAAATGCACGGATAGAGTTTAATGACACTAAAAATTAAAGATAAGCTTTTTCCAAACCTAGAAGATCTAGTAAACATTTTGTAAGCGGATCATACACAAAGTTTGACACTAACCCTTAATGTCACCTACATCACTAATTACTGAAGTGAATTTTCTACAATGTATCTCTTGTGGTCTTTTTTACGAATTAAATAAAGGATATGTTCA